AATCTCCTATGCCCATTCTCCTCATTAGCTCCATATATCGTCCAATATGCCGGGAACTTATCTCCGCCACTCTCCATCGGTATCTTTGTACTTCGCACCATATATATCGTCAATTTACATGAATCTTTGAGCAGTTACTCGCGGGCAGAAGCGCAAATTATCCTCTCTTACCTTTCCATTCATGGCGTTCTCTGTGCACGCGATTGCTCTCCTGCTCGTAACGTTTTTTCTAATTTCACCGTCGAATTCTGCCACCTGTAACTCACAGACCTTCACCAATAAAAAGCTTTACACTTTCTGTAACGACCTCCCTTCTCTCAATTCCTTCCTCCACTGGACCTATGAACCGGCAAATTCGACACTCTCTGTGGCCTTCATCGCCCCTCCGGCTAGCCCTGATGGCTGGATTTCATGGGCCATTAACCCAACGGGTACTGGTATGGTCGGGGCTCAGGCCCTTATCGCTTTCAGAAACTCCAAAGGTGCAATGACCGTCAAGACTTATAACATCACGTCGTACGGCCCGGTAATGGAGTCTAGGGTTTGGTACGATGTTAAGGAGTCATCGGCTGAGACCTCAGGAGGTATGATCAGATTGTTCGCCACCTTGGTGCTGCCGGCCAATGGAAAGACTATGGTGAACCACGTATGGCAGGTGGGATCTTCTGTTACGAAAGGTGTGCCGAATAAACATGGGTTTCAGCCGGAGAATTTGAACTCCAAGGGGAGCCTTGATTTGTTCGAAGGAAAAAGTGCAGGCATTGGTGAGTCTCGATCAAAGAAAAAGAATGTAAGTCTCCTTTTTCCTAATTACCATTTACAGAGTTATAAATAGTAATATGAATGGAACCTATATTTCTCTTTCTATGCAAGTTTTCCATCATATAATTGTTACTTTCTGCTTCTGAGCTTTTGTCTAACGTTAGCCAATAAGAGAAGCCTTCAAAATATAATAATTTTTGTGATTTTTGCTTCAGATTCATGGGATACTAAATGCATTGAGTTGGGGGATTATGTTTCCGCTTGGGATCATCTTGGCAAGGTACCTAAGGATGTTTCCATCTGCCGATCCTGCTTGGTTTTATCTTCATGTTTTCTGCCAAGTATCTGCCTACGTAATCGGTGTTGCTGGTTGGGGAACTGGTATTAAGCTTGGAAGCGAATCAGAGGGTATTCAATATACTTACCATCGTAATATTGGGATTTCCCTATTCGCTCTTGCAACAGTGCAGGTAATTCCCCAGGTTAAAATTTTTATTGTGCAAATTTACAGATAGAAATGGCAACAATTCCTTGTTTACAGTTTGGAAATTTTCTGATATGTGCATATTGTTTGCTTCGTTTTAATAGATTTTCGCGCTATTCTTGAGACCGGGAAAGGACCACAAGTATCGGATTTTCTGGAACATATATCATCATGGAATTGGCTATACAATCCTCGTCCTTGGCATAATCAATGTGTTCAAAGGTTTAGATATATTAAACCCTGAACAGCAATGGAGAACTGCATATACTATTCTTATTTTAATATTGGGAGGGAATGCTCTACTGCTGGAGGTGATTACTTGGATAATTGTTGTAAGGAGGAAATCCATTAAGTCGAAGAGAACATACTATGACCACAGTTCACACGGCAGCCATGAACCTTTATAGTTTATCTCCATGATCTGCTCCTATTACCTACCCGAGAGCTTTGAGCATTCTAAGAAAAACTTAGGAGTAACACATTATTTTCTGGGTGGAATTGATACCGACATAAACATTCTTCTTAGCAAGAATTATTGCTATCGGCGGGGTAAGGGCATTGGATCCATGTATATGAGAAATAGTAAGAATTATTGGCTTCTCTCAATTTGTAAATCCAGTTGTACTTGTATGTATTCTTGGCCGGGTAAGAGTTGATGTCCAATTGCCGGGGGTACGACATGATTGTAAGATTATAAATGCTGAGTGAGTAAATTTGTATTTACGACATTCTGAAAAGAAATAATGAATTATTAATTTGAGCTTGTGTTTGTTCATATATTGTTTTTAAAAAAGGTTGAATCCCAATCTTGAGAGCCTCTACCATCCCGTCCCTGGAGTATCATGAGGTAGGTAAATCGAGGGACGTGTCCTAACAGGTCAAAGAACAATAGGTTGCCCGTACACTGATATCCACAAAGAGTACAATTTCATATCTCAGGAATCGAACCCTCATACTGTGACTGTCAGTAAGGCTGAGACTACTTCACTTCTGTCCTTTGTATCACTAGGTTATACCCCAAGGGGCTTGTTCATATATCGTTTTGATTTTATAAATTGAGTACTCAAGTTGTTAAGTACAAAAATGTTTGATTTATAATTTGATATAAAATTTAATAGTTCACATTAGGTAAATAAAGATTGACAGTTTATTTTGATAAGATTGTCCCAACTTTATTCAAGTTGATCTTTGACTTCTACAGTAAAATTGAGAGTACATTTAAATCTGAATTCAATAATTTGGTTTTAATTGTCGAATTAAAGTTGTGATATGCTTACAAGAAATTGTCAAAAAGAAAATAAGATTTGAGAACTTATGCATATATGGAAAAGGGTGTTTTGGTCAATTTTAACCTTGTTCTAAATATACCAAATGATCAACTAGGGTAATACATAAGAATGATAAACCAGAAGATATAATTATTGATTATTCAGCTTAAGTAATTTTAATAAAGTTGAGAGTGCATTTTCGTTCTTTTAGTGAAATAGAACGAAATTCATAAATTATTTGATTGATCAAGAGTTGATCAAATTAAAATTGATTTATTGGAGCTTGGTTTAATTGGGTTTGATTTGGTCCCTTTGGTGACTTCATAATGTGAACGATGGAAGAATAAAAAAAAAAAAAAAAAAAAAGGAACTCGTTTTCTGATTATGGAATTCTTCCGTAATTAGATAATATCCCGTCCATTATAAACATTTTTATTTTTGGCGATATCTTTTAACAATCATGTTAAATGTACATCAAATTTTACATTAACTTTGACATTCTTCCACATGACACAATCAAGGCTTTTGATTTCCCCAACACCATTTCACATTACTGTCCAAATTGTGGTAGATAAGAGTAATGTCAACAATGACGTACGCAAGAATGTACATCTTGAATAATTCATTTTTAAACAATAGTCACATGAATCTTTTATATAAAGAGACATGACATCTTTGTTGATTTGCTTGTAAAAGCTGAATGTAATTGTAAAATATGTTGGAATTGGTTCAAAAATTAATCGAAAATTGGTTAAGTGTAAAATTGGGAAAATGAAAAGGTGTGACTTCGTGTCAACTTCGATCGAATGTTCGGACTTGATCCGATGGTTAAATTACAAAAGTAAATAGACCAACTTATTCTACTTGTCAAGTAGATCGTTGTGATATATTTGAAATCTCGAAACCAATTCCGGATGAATGAGAAATTGCAGTCCAAAGTTGAAAAAATGAAATGTTACAACTTTCGAAAGGATGTAAGTTTGAAATGAAGTGTTGCAACTTTCCATGAAAAATGCTGGATTTGGGGTGTGTCCCTTCACCCACAACCCTTCATCTTCTATATATATGACCCTTTGGATGTGTATTTGTCATTCTAATTCATTCCATAATTCCATATTATTCATTTCATGTTAAGTTACATAAAACACTTTGTAGAAGTGATTATCTTTTGCATCAAAATTATTGTTATGGTAGAGAGGAAATTTCGTTCGAGTTCGTTGGTCGAAGCCATTTGGAGTGCTCCTATGGCTTGACGTGATCGTTGTATTTTGGGAGATGATTGTCGAAAAATCATTAGCACCGATGCAGGGCAAATTCATCTTTAGGAAAGAGTTATACTCGCCTCAGCCAATCGCATCACTTGCATATAATTTTTTCTTATTTCTAATTTTCATTTCTTCATATTTGATTTCAGAAAATGAATAATTTTATTTATATGATTTATGCAAGATTCGATATGAAGAATCATATGTTTTAATTCAAGAATGGAAATGGTCAGATTCGATAATCATTGGTTAGTTTCTCAAACTCCATTACGGTAAGTCAAAACCTTGTTTCGATTTCGTGAACGTGTAAGTTACGTTTCGTGAATACAATATGCACATTTGAATCGGTGTATTCCCCAACAAAATAGTCACATGAAATTTTGTTGATTTGCTTGTAAAAGTTGGAGCGTTAAGTCATTCAAGAGATGCATGCATAAAATGATAAAAGCAACAACAAAGAGATATGATATCAATTGAACGGTTGGACTTTAATCAAACTCTGCAAGTTGAGACCTCAAATGGAAGTATGCAATCAATTTTTTCTTCATAAAGGTTCTCGAAACTAAATGGGTAAGTTCAAAATCCAACAATAAAATGACAAACAAAGTGTTGAAAATATTTATATTGGAATACTTATAAGCTAAAAATGTTCTCAAAATAGAAAAGACTCATTATTGGTTGAAAAAAAAAATTATTTTTTTAGAAAAATTGCAGAATTGTTTGCTGCTAGATGATTAGGATGTGGACTAATACTGCAATTTTTTCAATAATTAGAAAGTCAATGGATTTTTTTGTATTTTTGGTTACTACTAAGAGAGGAGATATATTTTTATACTGTTTGATATTTTAATGTCAAATTAAGAGTCAATCAAGGAATCGATTTTACAAATGTTTTGGTGTAATGCACCTCTCTAGGCTATCTTGCTCTAGTTTCGCGTATATCATTTGGTTTCTTAAAACTTCTTTCTCATTATTGTGCTGTCTTTTGACATTGGACTATTGAATAACTATGAATTGAGTATGCGTGGTTGTCCTTGGTGGAAAGTGTTGGAGACGACTTATAAAAAGGGTTATGTAAGAGTTAGTTTTTAATATATTTGTTTGACTAGTTTTAACCCATAAGAGTGTGATCAAAATACAATTTATATGAATGAAAATTTGGACAGAGTTTCGGTATAACGATTACGCAAAATAAGGATTAACAAGGAGTAGAAATAGAGAATAATCCAAGGCGAAACGTTATCTCTTTCATTAAGACAAATTGTCCTGCTACGGTGCTCACAGTGAATGACACTTGTTTCTCAAGATACAATGGATTCATAACTTATGGTAGCAACACTTCAAACCACAAGAAACCGACGAACTTTTGACGGAATTTTTCCTCTACAAAGGAAATGCATGAAAATGCTATAGAATTAGAAAGCAGAGAATTGTAAGAGGAGAATGAATGCTCAATGCAATTGGTGTACCCAAAAACATGTCCATAAGATCCTATTTATAGATGTAGAAAGGGTGCAAATGAAGTAGTGTGAGCCAAAACATGCATCCTTTCGAGAAATTGCAACACTTGGCCAAAACTTGCATCCTTTCGAAAAGTTAAAACATTTCATTTTTTCCAACTTTGGTCAGCAATTTCTCATTCATTCGGAATTGGTTTCGAGATTCCAAATAAATCACGACGATCTACTCGACGAGTAGAATAAGTTGGTCATTTACTTTTGTAATTTGACAATCGGATCAAGTTCGAATATTTGATTAAAGTTGACACGTAGTCACACCTTTTCATTTTTCACTTTTACACACATTTTCATTTTCCAATTATTGGTTAATTATTTGAATCAATTCCCACAATCCCCAACATGAATGGAAATTCCGGTACGCATACACAAAATCGATGATATGATGCAATGTAGAGAGGGTGCGGAAAAATACTGCATCAGGGATGGTGGCTTCTGGCCTTGAACCTCCCTTAGTAAAATACTATCGAACTTACTTGGTTAATTGGTGAACCATAGGTCTTGAACCACTCAGCCTTTGGTGTAAGTCAAGGCAACAATACTCACACAGATATCTTCCCTATTCTGTACTTAGTTCTCATGACTTGGTTCATTTTGGCCATGAACCCTTCTTGGTCTCTTTAAGTGCTTAGATAATTCAAACCTTAAACATTTTTTTATCAAAGCGGCCCCACTTCACACTTACATATGTGAACTCCTATTAAGAGTATTCTGCCCTACTCCACATGACTTAATCAAGATATATGAATTATTAAAGGATAATTTTAGTCTCTATCCACTCTGCATAAAACACTTTAGTATCATAGGAATGAGTTAGGAATTCTAATTTCCTAAGTGCTTTATGGAATTTTCACAATTTAGTTGTCCCATTTGAACCAAGATCTTGGGATCTTCAGTCAACAAGGTAGGGTTACCATTGCAAAAACTCTTACGTAGTAGGCTTTAATCCCATTCCTTTCTATAGGCAACGCACTTGATCTCTAGGCAAATTTTTCGTAAGTGGATCCGCTATATTCTCCTTTGATTTCACATAATCTAAGGAGATAACTTCACTTGATATCAGTTGCTTAATGGTGTTATATCTATGACGAATATGTATAGACTTTCCATTATACATACTGCTTCGAGCCCTTCCAATTGCTGATTGACTATCAAAATGTATACTTATCGCAGGTACTGGCTTGGGCCAACATGGAACATCTTCTAAGAAATTTCGAAGCCATTCTGCTTCTTCTCCAGCTTTGTCCAAAGCAATAAACTCAAATTTCATCGTTGATCGAGCTATGCACGTTTGCTTTGTTGATTTCCATGATACAGCAGCTCCACCAATGGTGAATACATAACCATTAGTGGACTTGGAATCCTTCATATCGGATATCCAATTCACATCACAATATCCTTTTAGTACATAGGATATTTTGTGAAGTGTAATCAATATGTTAAGGTATACTTCAAGTACCTTAGAACCCTCGTCAAAGCCTTCCAATGATCACGATTTTGATTACTTGTAAATCTACTAAGTTTATTCACAGCAAAAGCAATATCCGGTCGAGTGCAGTTTGTAATATATATAAGACTGCCAATTATTTGTGAATACCTTAGTTGTGATATGCTTTCTCATATATTCTTGATTAAGTGCATACTTGCATCAAGAGGAGTTCTTGCAGAACTTTCCTCAAACACGTCAAATTTCTTAAGTACTTTTTCTATGTA